AACAACAACCAAAAGAGGTGCATGAAAATGCATGATTACTGGTTGTGTAAACTGAATGCAGAAAACTCAACTGGCTTATCTGGGAGGATTAGTTTGCCAGCACCAGTTTCCACATGTGAATACCACCGTATGTTGTCTCCCAAGTGATTAGTCTTGTGTTTTCTGCCTATAAGTACTGAGGTGATTGTGTTCCAGTGGATATTCATATCGCGAAAGGTCAAAAGAAGTATTCAAACAAAGACCAAGTATGTGGATTGCTTAGTGCCTAAGTGAGCTAGGCGTTGTGCAAGCTTGAAAAAATTGGTTGTGCCCTATCATGTATGGGCAAAATGGTAAACAGTCTGATCAGTTGCCCTTTGGTCAAGTGGGTGATGTGCTTGCCTTCTGCCGGTGAGGTCCCGGGTTCAATCCTCAGTTGGTTCAGTGGATTCGCATTACTGATGAGACCCAACCAGGTCGAAACAGCTGTTCAGTACTTCCCGGTTTCTTTTGGTTCACTCTTCAGTTGCTCTGTACACAGCAGCATTCACCGTATAATGGTTTCAAATCCTCGACTACTAACGTGATCGAAAAACGTTTGTATTTCTAATAAGCTGTTGGGGAATAGTGTTGTTTCAGACCGGCTTGGGATAGTTTGACATAAGACTGTCATCAAACTACACATAGATCTTGGTTGGAGTGATAAGACGCAGGCCACTGATGAATGCCGAAAATATATATGGGGCGTGTGTAGCACTCTAAAAGACTCCCAAATCAACACTTTGGGAAACGTACTATTTCCTTTTGTTCTTTGATTTCCTCCCGATAAATTATCTTCCAATCACAACAATAAAGTGATGTGACAACGAAGGGACGGTAGCTTTCGGGAACAAGGGGTTGCGGAACGGAATTGACAGCTGATGAATGGTTAAGGAAGACTCAGCGAACGGTTCTCGCTAGTTGGAGCTAGTGTCTAAAGTACATCTGTTTGGTACATTCCCAAATTGAAGGGAGTTTTATAAGCGTCAGTATGGTCAGAGGTGGATGTCCTGGGTTTTGACTGGTCACCCCTCGTACCACGCAGTTTTCCTATACGACTGAGATTCTCGAATAGCCTCTGTTTATTTAGGCCTATTCAGTGCTTTCACAAGACGGGTGTTTATCGGCCCAAGGGAGAGGACGGAAAGCCAAGATCCAAGGCTATAACCGTATCAGTGAACCACTTGCAATTGTGAATCCTTTGAGAAAATTCGCCTACTTTGGTCTGGACAACCTAGCAGTATCCCACCTTCGAGTAAATCATGGGTTAGTTTCTTTGTTGCATTGAGGATTGTACCGCATGTGATACATATAATGTAAGAGGTTCATTGGGGACATCAATGCTGAACCGCGAACTGGTTGGAATTGTGCATCTTATTAAGCCCAGGGGATATAACGGTAATGAGATGCAAGCATTTAGGTTGAACATTAGATAAAGAGAATTTAAGGTTAAAACCGTGCTCATAAGCCTCAAAGAATGAGGGTTTGTATGTGTGTATAAAGGTTTATAACTAAGGAACTCGAAAATCGCTGAACGGACTAGCGCCGTGTTTAAGCATAGATTAAGGTCGGTGCTTTAGGCCTGCTTTATTCGTGGGTTTCACAGTCCTAAGATGAAGTGCTTCATTATATTGAACTGAATCTATGGTGGGCAAACTGTCATCAGGCGAATAAGGCATACAATGAACAGAAAGATAAACGGATACATTACACAGCAATGGTGGTCAAGTGGTTTAACTCGAGGTCCCTGGCGTTTTTTGGTCTTAGGTTCCGAGGCTCAAAACCCGCCGCCGCCGCCACCACCACCACCACCACCCAACTTCGGTGGTCGGTCACCTACCTTGGATGGTGTTGATCCCTCACTACGGAACTTGTCTTGCGAACGCAGCCTTCGGTTTTTCATCTCTTCTTTGACTGTTAAGGAAATCAATTGGATGTCAGTGGTTTGCTGTGACCTGTACGGTTGTTCCTATTGTCTGCTGAGAAATTTTAGCCGTGAAAAGCGTACGGCCTCAGTGTAAACAAAAGTTATTATCACGGCACTGCACCAATGGAAAGTTGCATTTACTGTCTCCATACTGGTCAATAGAACAGAGGAATTGTTGAAGTGAAAACCACGTTGAAGCGGTATTAGCGTTTTTTCTCTTTCTGGAGAACCGCTTTGCATGTTGAAAGATTTCGAATTTTGCTGTTCGTTTTTTTTAATCTGAGTAGAAGTAGAGTGTGCCAACCCGAGAGTACCATTCCGGCCTAAGACATTGGAGCTCTGTGCTCTCTAGTGGAGATCGATTCCTTCAGTTTGCGAGAGAGAATGCTTTGGTAATAAATAATGACTTTGTCCAATACAGCACCTCCATTGCTGGGAGTTAGATAGAAAATTGTCAAACCAAAGGTAATTTCAGGTCGATTTGATCCATAAATAAGGCAGTTAGCCGTTAAAATAAAGTTGTTACCAACAATGGGAATAATGTATGGAATTGATACATCATAAAAGAAGCTGACGTCCCGTTGTGAGCAAAAGGGAGTAATGTAAAGATTAGTAATTATCTTCTAAAAGGAGTGAACCCATGGCGACATTGAACTGTAAGCAGTCAAGATCATCAGCAGAAAAGGTAAGGAAAAGTAAGTTGCCTAATTGCTGCACCAGATGAAGTCAATGTAGATTATCACCTCACCTCCTATCTTCTTGCTACTTCTTTTTTGTTTCACCGAAAATTTTCGGAACTGGGTTTGTTTACCGTTGGATTCCCTGTTCCAGTTCAACCACTTTTTCTGTGTGTTCGTAGCACACGCGTTTAATTACACGTGATAAGTTATTAGGCCATCATCCATTTTGCTAAGTAAGGAGAGACTGTTGAAAATGCCCAAAGAGCGAGAAGTCATTTTCTTAAGTGTGTATTTGCACAATAGCAATTTGCCACCCTGGAACGCTTGTGTTTCTTACTCCAGGATTACTCCAAATTGAATATACTTATGACAGTGAGTAACACAAAACAGGAAGGATCATCTTGCAGATATAATTTCCTTTCATAGGAACTGCGCGAAAACAATTGAGACCATTTGATACATTTCAT